AAAGTATAGAATGAATGGGAGTTAGGGTTTTGGAGTTACCTCAGCTCCTTTATATAGAAATGGAACATTCACCTGAAGTCCCCAAAATGCCCCGGCCGACTTACTGGAAATATCCAAACTACCCTGGTCGGTTCGCATTCCATCCATTTCCTAGTCAGCTTTTAGATCCTTCCTTATCCTTAGCTGCCCCTTCGGTATGCTGAAGTGTATTAGAGCTATCGGGATTTATGGGCTTCCAACCTTTCTCAGTCGACTTGATCCAGTCGACTCGAGTCGACTGGGTCATATTCGATTGTTAGTAGATCCTCACGTGTTTGACTATCTTTCAAGAGGAAATCCAGTTTTGGTAGTCGACACGTGGAAGTCGACTGGGAGAGATGCCTGGATCCTTGACCGGAGATACCATAGTCTGCGGACAGGGTCGACTTCGCGCAAGTCGACTCGGTAATCTATGAACCGCGATGGTTATTGAACCGTTACACGACAGTATGGCTATATCATGTATTTATTCGGCTAATTTGAGGTTTTTATAGAAATTAATGAGCCGTTTTAGAGCTTCCAAAACAAATCAAGGTTATATTAGTCAACTAATACCATTATCAAAAGTTCCAATACAACTTAAGGGTGATATTAGTCAAACTATTATGGAGTTACCTAGTTAGTTTTTTAATATTTTTGAAATATTTAAACCTAAAATTATTGATTTAGAATAATATTATTTTTTATTTAAACCAAACAACGAAGCATGTTTCTTTGCCAAGTAGGATTTCGAAGCATGCGAGGCTGCTACTTAGGCTCAACACATTCTGCAATTATATATAAAGGGAATATATTGATATTCCTCTTTGGAGAAGTAACAAGAGTAGATACATTAAGAAACCATTTCTCTCTTTTTAAACATAAATGTAGAATTTCACTCTCTAATTCAATGATGGCTATGTTTAGTAAATTTAACTGATTAGCTCGTTTGTAGTTGATAAACGAGCTTATAAGTTATAATTTTTTAAGTAATTTTTTACAGTAGCCATATCGTTAACCTTGTGAAGATTTATACCATGAACTTGCACTCTTTTACCCTGTATTAAAGTAATAATTGTCACTGGGAATATTTTCTTCCTGAAATGTGCAGACAATGATTTTCGAGTAACATGCCGAGTTGAGAAGTTAGTTAGCACCTTCTGTTTTATGAAATAATTTAGTGCATAAATAAACAAACAAACAAACAAAAAATTATGTATTTAATATCCAAAAGAATGTGAAAGAACACTAGAGATGAATAAATAATTGTCAAATAATATTCAACATATCTAACAAAAGATCACTGAAAATAAACAAAAGGAAAGGGCCCAGATTGCTCTAACTTTATATAATTGTGTTTTTTAACAGAGTAAATTTAAGCCACACACCATTCAAATTGCTCTAACTTTTTTTTATAATTGTGTTTTTTTGTCGTGCACAGATTCATTGTAGATTCTTTGTGTGATGATTAACATGTGGCACCACAGGATAAGCTGAGCCTGTGTGACTTAGTACCATTCCTTGAACATTAACCTAATTTTTAGTGCACAAAAACTTGGAAAAAAATGTAATAGTTTTATTGTATAGTATAGTATGTCTTTTTAGGAACATGGAGCTCCATATTTGACACTTTAGTTTAAATCATAACCTTATTGGCTAGAGGCTTTTCCTTGGATAATACTATTTTATTGATGTATGAATGTTGATTGCAAAATTTTAGGGTTGTGATTGGTTATAAATTATGATAATTTTTTAATTCAATTTTCAATCAACCAATCACTCCCCTATAGATACAGCTAAATACTAATATTCAATCATCCTCACACAACACATCAACATTAATTCACTATGCAATCACTCACATAATTCTAAATAATCATCACTTTTAATCACATATTTCCTACTATTACGTAAAATAAACTTTAGTCATTTTGTTTTAAATAATACTAGTATTAATACTCATGTACAACATGAGTGTTGAGTTAATGATATATGTGTAAAGTTATTTATGTCTAATACCAAACTTAACTCCAGAGCAAAATAATATAAAAACAACATCACGAAGCATAGATTTTCGCCATGTCAGCATCCGAAACGTAAGAATCTGTCACCTAAACTCAACACGTTTTGAATTAATATATAGGGAGGGATTTAATGCAAACTCAAAATTCCACTAAAACCTTAAGATCAAATAAAAATATCTTATATCCAATCACCCCTAAGAGATGTATAAACACACATTCACATGAGTTTTTGTGGTTCGAAGGATAAAAACTTAATTTGAGCAGTGGATCGAATTCAATGTATGTCTCTATAATAGGACCGTTTGAGTAAGCGTGTTGTCGAATGTCATTGTGAAAGTTGAAAATATCCTAAGCTTAGGAAATATCAACGACTATAAAAGATAGACTTATATGAGCTCACCAAGGATAAAACAATTGCCATGTGTAACAAGCCAATTGAAGCTCGTTGATTGTGGTTTCTAGTAACGAATGGCCATTTCAAATTTATGGCAATTAGACATGTCCACAGTCACCCGACCCAGAACCGACACGTACCCAACCCAACTAGACCCATTCCTACGGGTCCAGGCCAGACCGGGTCAGATCAGAGTAGGTCATTTTAAACATATGACCCGGCAGGCCAAGCCAGCCCAAGAAAAATCAACGGTTTTCAATTTTATTTTTTTAAATGGGTCCTGGATCTGGGTCGGGTCCGGCCCAGCCCACCGGGTCGTGTACCAGGCCCGTACCAAGGTATTGGCCAGTTCAGATTACTGATTTTTAACCCGGCGACCTGTCCGGCCCGGGAATTTGGCCATGTCTAGTGGCAGTATATTGGAGTGCCTACATTTTAAAGTACGAGCTGTCAGATCATAAGCATAGAGTTCACACAATTTTTTATCGCAACATAGTTCCAAAAAAAAAAATACAATTAAAAAAAATAATGGCCTAATTACGTGAAAACATTCACCTCCTTGAGTAAAGGAGTTGCCATGAAGGTCCATAGTCTAAGGCTTTGCTATATATGTACATATATACTATGAGATGGGAAGCAAACAAATTTGAAGCATAATAAATTGCCGCGCAAGATTCACTGCGCTACTAACATCAAGGTAACAGATTAGAAAAATGAAATGATATGTATAACAATACGAATAATGAGATGATGCATAGAACAACATTAACCGTAAAGCTTCTAGAGTTTGGCAGTTTTCACAAACCAACTCATTAAAATTCAAAAGCTTCAAATTGAAACAAGTATCAATGACACAACCTGAAAAAGAAGTCCACAATGCATAGAACAACATGAATAACCATAAAGCTTCTGGAGTTCGGCAGTTTTCTCAAAACCCAACTCATTAAGAGTCAAAGCTTCTAACTGAAACAAATATCAACGATACAACCTGAAAAAGAAGTCCATAAATTGGTAGAAGTTGAACAACATGAGACTACTTGATATCTGTCTTCTCTGCATTCAAGAAGACATGTTCGTTTGCATAAAGAAAGCAGACTAAAATAATCACAGACACCATAAGAGAAGGTCAAAGCATAAAAAAAACATTGCAGCAATTGTTCCCATCCAATTATTAATGAAACCATATCCGACCATTTAACTGCATATGATAGAGCTCATACCATGAAAAGTATTTGTTAAATACTATGTCCATACCTTTTTTGTTGTTTTAGAAATAAGAAATCCTTCTATGGTACCATAAATTGTAGTAACAAAAAAAATACTAACCTTCATTTATTTCCACGCAACTGTGGTTGTATTTCAGTGGTCCTCACAACCATAGTTGTGTATTATCTCAATCTGCAACAAGAAAAGTAAGGCACTGATACAACACAGGGCAACCGAAGTCTCACCAGTTAAGACATAAAACATTGTTTCATATGGCTATCAATAAAAGATTGTATAAGGCAATGATATAAACACAGGACAACTGAAATATCACCAGTTAAAGCATAAACATTGTTTCATATGTCTATCAAACAAAAGATTTGTAAGTGATAAACATAGAAAACAGGCCAGAAAATGCCCGGCCAGTTGTTTTAAAGTACAAACAAAAATAAGAGTTGAATCAATTACCCCAGGAGGTGGTGGCGGGTTGCGGCAAAATTTGGTGCCACCGGGAGCCCATGGAACTGTTCGAACGAAACAATTATGAGAGCGAAAAGAACAGAACAACCAATATTTATTAATATTTGGCACGTGATTTCAACTCAAACACTGATGCATCAATTTCAGAAGGGAGAAAATTCCCACTGATACAAGTGTGAAATTAGGGGGAAAAAACAGTGGGACGGCAATGGTTATGCAAAAGGTACGAATGCTGGAAGAAAAATGATAATGCATTGGATTATAAAAACAAACTCGGTTACTTCGTTCGATTTAAATTTGTTCATTCACAAGCCAGAATTACAATATTCATTCACAATAGAATGAGATAATCAGACATCAGCGACCCTAACCCATGACAAATTGATGAAAATATGTTATTACAATGATATTATTCTAGCAGAACTAACTCAAAAAGTTGCAATGTATTGTACTATTACAAAACTCTTCTAGTAATGAATTCTATGATATCGTACCTTTTGGTATATACTTCTGATTGCATGATGAATAGGAATAAAATGACTAACTTTATACGTACCAATGTAAGGATCAGGGTGCCGCCATTTGTTGTAGGTTGCTTCACCAGCAGATATCATTCTATCAATAAGTTCAATATCTTCCTGGAAGCTCAAAGCAATAAACAACAAAACACGAGATTCTTAACACAGTTGATACATTTTAAAAAATATCAGTATTGTCGTCATCATCATTATCGTCACCATCCATGTAAACTCAACCTCCATCTTTCAGTTTGACTAATAAAAACTAACCAGCACTCTTTCAATCACTACGGAGTAACATTTTTTTATCCTCTTTCACTTGTTCAGCAAATAAACTCCTCAATGTGATCGAACAGATTACATTAGAGCTCCATAACGGGAACATGAGTTGCTAATAAAGTTATCGAGCGAAAAACTCAGCATACAAAAGATAAAGAAAATCGCTATTATCACCCAACGTCTAAATTCCTCAATGGATCGTGCATAACCAATTAGATACGATAACTGATGAATGAGAATCGGAACAGAACAAAAACCAATTAGATACCATAACGCACCACTTGTCTGTTGGCCTCAAACTTCTCTCTCAGAGCATCAGCCTGACCAAAAAAAATACAGTTAATCACAAAATCCTCCATTAAAGGCCAATCGAGCTCGGATACGTGCTTATACGAAGAAAAACAGTAAAACGTGGAGATCAAATCAGCGTACACAAAACCCTAAGAAAGATAAAGGAAAGGAACAATTACATCAGGGTAAAAGAGATGGCGATGCACGGCCCAGTTGAGAGTGTCCTTGAGCGCTCGCCTGTAGAGGATTCTAACCCTCTCCTTCTGTGCTGCCCGCCGAGCTAGATACGACGTCGTTGCCAAGCTCATTTCTTCAGCTTTGGTTCTCAGATCTCAGCTGCTGTATTTTTCACTCGATTCTCGAGAAGTGTCTTCTCATTTTCCTTTCCCTAACAAAGAGAACAAATGGTTTAAACTGATACGATGTCGTTTGTGCTGTTGGGCTCCAAATGATTTTCTGTATTGGGCCTGATGCATTTTATGAAGGACCAAAATGTTTCTACAGTTGAGTGGATAAGCCCAATGAAAGCCCAACTATGTGAATTATTTGTTTATTTATTGTATATTATATAAAAAAAAATATATATTAGTTTAGAGCATCTTTAACAATACTTTTTCATAAACCTCCTTTTACACTTCCCAATATATCATGTTGACATGGTTTTCGGTAAACCAGATTTTCGAGGAGTACTAGCACAAAGCTATACAAACTTGAGGGGCCTAAGCTCACAGGCTTCAAGTGCCGTCACGTCGGATACAACAGGCTAAGAACTGACGTCGTTACTTGACAAATAGACAACAAAATCACTGCCTTTATCCTTTCAACCAATATCTCTCATCAGTCAAGGCTTAGCTAATTGATGCCGGCCAGGCATACTTATCGGTATCAAGGGGCGGTGACAACTCAGTCATTCATCATAACTGTTATCCAGGTGACGAACAACAAATACAAGTGACAGATGACCGCCTTTGACTTCATCTTTTCATTAAATGCGATCACACCAACCTCGTATTGTGGGTCACCGTGCTATAAATAGCGAGTTAAATCCTTAGAAAAGGGGTTCGAATTTGTTATGTCTCTTGTAATAAATCCAAAACAATATCCCGACCAATATTTAATAAATACCGACGTCGTCTACATCAAAACCGACGTCATCTCCGTTCATTATGCGTTTCTTTCATAAAGCTCCTTCGTTTATTTTTGTTGTTAATTGTCACATAACAACATATCACATCATCCAAAACTTCATTCTTACTCCTACACCCACAAACCTTCAATCAATAAGAGCATCTTTAGCCATACAACTTTATAAACCTCCATAAACCTCACTTTTACACTTTCCAACACGTCACATCATTCAAAATCTCATCCTTACTCCTACACTCATAAACCTCCAATAACCATAAACCCCATAAACCTCATTATTTATGGGTCTCACATGTCTCTCACTTACTTTTATTTAATATTACAGTCTTATATTTTTATTAATATTTTAAAACTATAACTCTATTATTTATTTTTATTAAATGTAAATAAAAAAAACGGTCAGCTTTTATTTATCCCTATACACTAAAACTAAAATTGATTACAAAAATTAAAAAAAAACATAAAGAAAGTTCAAATAATGTGCCAATAAATTGATTAAAAAAATGAGAAAAAAATAAATATCATAGCAGTTGGGCTGCATTTTAAATAAAATAACAGGAAAAAATAAAAATATATAAAGAAAAGTCCATGTTTTGTAGGTGTTTATGTAAGCAGATAGCTAGCATCTGCAGTCATTTCTGGTGGAGCAAGGGAACTGACCTTCAAAGACGTATTCATTGGATTTCTTGGGATAAATCAACATTGAACAAAAAGCATGGAGGAATGGGCTTTCAGGATATTCAATTATTCAATACAACACTTATATAGCCAAGCAAATTTGGAGGTTGGTGACACAACCTAACACTCTGGTTTGTAGAGTATTAAAAGCTAAATATTTTCCAAGCTCTTCTATCTTTGATGCACACAGACAAAAAAATGCCTCATGACTTTGGGACAGTTGGTTAACTGTACTTAAAGTTTGTGAAAAATGGATGCAAGTGGAGATCAGGAGTGGCACTAATACAAGAGTCTGGGACCAGCACTGGATTCATAATCACATAGGCAAAAGTATGCCACTTAATGAAGGCATTGACAGAGGAATCAATTGGGTAAAGGATCTTATGACCACTGATGGCTTCCACTGGGATACCCGTAAAGTGAGGAGCACTTTTCCACCAGATATAAGTGACTCTATCCTAAATATCAACACTATCAATCCCAATCACAATGACAGATGGATCTGGAGGCTTAATAATAAAGATATCTTTTCTGTTAAATCTACATATGCTCATCTTATTGCAGAAAAAGCCTTGCAGATGGATCAACCAGAAGGAAGCTGTGATAGATTGCATGAAATCTAGAACCAGGACATGGGTCAAAGTAATGGGTAAGGTAAAACATTCTATATGGAAATGCTTGTCTGGTGCCTTACCTGTTAATCTGAATTTAAAAATCAGAGGAATGGAGATAAATGTCATCTGTCATGTCTGTGGGGAGGTTGAAGAGTCAATAGAGCATATATTTTTCCAATGCATTCAAGCACAACAGGTATGGAAGCCAGCTCCAGTTCACTAGGAGGGCCCTCAAGAATCTGGAAATTTCAAATCCTGGTGGTGGCAAGTTTGCAAATTGAACAAAGATGACACGCAAAGGCAAGGTTACAACTTTCAACATACATACTCTGGTGGTTATGGAAATGCAGGAATCTATGGGTTTTTGAAGGAATCAAAAGGCCTGCACCCTCCATAGTTAAGGCAACTGTTATGGATTGGAAAGCTTACTTGGAGGCAAATGGAGCAGGCCACAGCTCTTCTTGAAGGATGGTTATCTGTTATTATTTTCTTGGCTATTACCTTTCATATTTAGGCTTTCCTTAGTTTTGTATTGGTTGTTTTCCTTTTTCGATAGTCTTAGCCTATAGCTTTGGTATTTGAGGGGTAAGGGCCTCAGTTGTGTTCTAACTGCCTTACCCCTTTATTTTTATTTTTATTTGCTTGATTTTCTAGGCCACCTCAAGGTGGTTCTCCCATTCCCGGCTTTAGATATTGTGTATGTTTGGTTTCCTTGTTTGGACATTGTATAAGTATTTTGGTTTGTATGAATGAGATGATCTATCGCTTGGAAAAAAAAAAAGTTTGTAGGTGTGCCAATAAATTAATTAAAAAAAATGAAAAAAATAAATAAAAACACAAATAATGTCATTACACTTGGGCTTCAGACGTGGGGTCACACTCTTCACAACATATTTGGGGCGTGGGAAACAGACTTCCATTTATTTTAGGGAAATTTTCAGTCTTCCTATAAGATATACAAATATTTTCAAATTTACCTTCATATAAAAGTATTTTCAATTATACCTAATGAACTTAATTTATTTATGAGATTGCATCAATAGCAGTTACCATATATATTCAACTGTATCCCCCTTTTTTTGGACTTGATTAAGAGAGAGAAAAGAAAAATAATAACTGATTCATTTATTAATTCCTTAATTCACGCAACTTGTACATTGTAATTCAAAGCTGCCGCCAGGCAGTATATTTTGAGTTTATGTTAGTATATATTCAGTGTATGTTGCAAATATTATAATTCACGCAGCCGACAGATGGTATATTTTGAGTTTATCTTTAGTACATATTTAGTATATGTGGAATAAAAACAAGTCTTCCACAAAAAAATTATATCTTTTTTTTTTTTTACTTTTATACATAAAAGTATATAGAAATATATTATAACATTTATTTATATTCCATATACAAACAAATCTTCTAATATATTGAACATATACTCCATATACACACAACATATACTGAACAATAAAAAATTATGTCTTCTTTTTTTCTTTACTAGGAAATATACGCAAAAATATACCGAAAAAAATGAGGACGTGAAATTTTATACCGAAAAAATTATGTCTTCTAATACACCGAAATTTTTTTTGGGGGGGGGCAATTATTACCTGATATACACAAAAAATATATTTCAAATATACTAAAAAATGTGTAACAGGTGCAGAAAGCCAATGACAAAGTGTATAGCATAGAAAGAGAAAAAATACTTCGGATAGAGAGAAAAGTTACCTCGGATATACCCACCAGATAACTAGATAACCAGAGAAAAGTTACTTCGGATATACTCGAATATACCCAACATATAACTCAAGAAAAAAAGAATTATTAAACAGATAACCAGAGAAAAGTTAATTCGAATATACTCGGATATACCCAACATATACCCAACTCGGTTTTGTAAATATACCTTCAAAATCATGAATAAACATACCTTATACATATACGCACACAAAAGTAATCATGAATAAAAAGAATCGTTCAAAATTTCAATCACGAAAAATCAAAACGAGGAAATAATAATTGGGTAACATAATCATCAGTGTCACCAAATATCTACTGGAGATGCCTTCTTGATTTATTCATAATATATCAAGTCATCAAACCATGAGACCATCTTCTTCATCTAAGGCTTCATTCTTGTGAATATCATGCTAGAAAACAGTCAGCCTATCAAGAACCCACATGTCGATATTCAACAGTAGCAAGTTAATAACAAGACAAGACTATCGCCGGGAAAAAATCAATCACAAAAATCGAAAGGAGAATATGATCATAGGGAAAAAATCCATCAAAAAAATCAATCCAGCAGATGGATTTTTTTTACGGGTCGAGTCAAAATACGTGGGCAAAAGCTTTTGGGAAATTTTCAATCTCAACAGCTCGGATTCTGATCTGCCGCTGCTCTTATCGCCGTCGGTTAAGTGGCTCCGATCAGCGAAAGTTTTTACTAGATCACCTTCGTCGTCTTCAAGAAATCACAAGCTTTTGGTTTCTTCATGACAGAGCAAGTTTGTTGGCCCATAGTCAAAGTCGTTCCGTCTTTGGGTGAACGTGCGTTCTTAGAGATATAAAGAGATAATTAAGTCATCCTATTTATTTGGTAAGTAAATCTCACCATATCAGGTATATTTGCAATATTTTGTAGATTTTTAGGCTGTTTTATAAATAAAAATAAAAAGGTAACAAAAGTGTTATATAAATTATATAGGATAGTATGGGATGTAAATTCCTCTTTATTTTACATTTCTGTGGAAGCTACAACTAAACCTCATATCTATTGGCCCACATATTTCTCACTTACATTTAATTAATATGGATCACTATAATTCACCACCAACAATCTCATTGGTTCAAAAGAAATCGAGCGGATACATAATTCACCACTGAGTGGTGTTTGTTTATAAAACTTTTCAATTTTTATTCAATTCATACTCAAAACTTAATTTTAATTCAAACTTTGATGATATTATTAATATAATTAAACAATATCAATCAATCATTCTTACACATTACATCAGTTTTAATTTATTATTCATTCTCTCACATAATTTTAACTACCGCTTCACATAATTTATTTATTACTTTTACATCAAATCAACTTTAATTATTTTATTTTAAATGTTATCTAAATATAAACTTAAAATCATACTAACAATGAACAATCATACTTTCAAAATTAATCAAAAAATCTCGTTCCAAAATTAATCCAAAAATTTCGTTTTGATCGAATATATTTCTATCCAAGCACGCCAATCCCCATACAGAATTTTTCACCTGAGAAGTAAAAAAAATCATCAATAATTCAATACTAAACAACTGAACTATCCAGTGGAGAAAAATCTGAGTCAAATCACTAATAACATGAATACATGATGTCCCATTACATAAACCCGAAACCATAAAGATTTCCCGTTCCTAACACTGCCTTTTTTTTTCAAACAGCAGAAAATTCAAAAAACCCAAACAGAATTTTTCATCGCCCATCATCCAAAAACTCATCAGATATACAAAATGATAAAATCCCATAAACCACCACACAATCCCTCAAAACCATTACACGGAGATCATACTATTTTTTTTCCAGCCAAACGATCTTCGTAGGCGCGGAGGCATGAAGCTAAATCCAAGCATCTCATTGATTGCTCGACCATGGTCCGAAAAACCAATGAGCTTAGCAACAATAGCGGCACTTTTATTTACGCTGTCGATATTCTCCGTATTGGTCCATAAAAGGTTGACCAGTTGCAACCTTCTTTGCTTCGAGGTCAAGCTGATGCCCCACTCGTTGTAAATCTTGTTTCTTTCATCTTCCGTGTATCTTTTGTTGATTAGCCTGCTCAGTGTTTCTCTCTCCTTACGAAGGGCTTTCTTGCTGTTTGTTCAAGAAAACCGCGCGCAAGTGAATATTGGTACAAACTTAGTACGAGTGAATACTTATTAGGAAAAAGCAATTTTGTCAAATTAAAAGGTTTCAAAACTAATCAAAGGAAAATCTTATAACCTTTCAATTACGAATGTCCCCTGGACTTTCAATTACGAATGTCCCCTCAACATAGTTCTATCTTGGGTCAATATTTTTTCCAACATTTACTATACGTGCTTCTGATTTTTGCTACCTACAGTATTTTTAGTATTTTTTGTAGTAAAATGCAACTTGGACTTCATGAATTTTCATAATTTGCATACTCGCCTACATCTTGACCATACACGTGTCCTTTTTTGCGGATGATCGTGTGGTCAAGAAGTAAGCGAGCATGCAAATTATAAATGTTCATGATGTCCAGGTTGTAATTTACAATACTATAGGTTGCAAATCCCAAATTCACGTATAGTACAAGTTGGGACCAATGTTTTACCCTTCTATCTTCACATATTGCAAAGTTTATCCTTTTAGATTACAAATATCCCTTCTTATACTTCGCTACTTCACAGTTGAACCTTATGGGGGAGGTAAATTGTAAGAAAAACACTGACCGCACAAGATATTTCTACTTTCTATATTACAACCTCTAAGGGTACTTGTCATCGTAGAAGTAAGCTGGTCTAAACTAAACGTCACTGTTTTTATCATTTATTTGACAATGAAATTTGCAGCATTGCCAAAAATTTATTCATTTTAGAACACAATATTCAAACAAGTGAGAAACAAAGAAAACAGAGTTTTGAAGTCATATGACGATACCTTGACGCCAGAGTAAGAGTACGGCCAGCTTGTACAGCTGAACCACCCTTTGAAAATGTTTCCTTGAGAAAGGATAATCTCCTATGTTCAACCTCCATGTAAATGGAATCTGCCGAGTCATCTTTAATAAGGAGGATGAAATATGTTCTGTGTACCAGCGACACATTGCAAGCTTGCCAATGCTCGATTATCAATCTCTGCAACTTCTCAAACTTCAGCGGTGAATTCATTGGATCCAAAGCAAGTCCTTTAGTACTGTTTTCACTTGTATTCTCTGTCGAAACCTAATAGCACACAAAATGTGTCATTAGAAGGCTCTCCATCAAACAAATTACAAACTAAAATACCCCTAAATGAAAGATATTAAAGGTTTGAATACAAAAACTATCCTTGAAATGTCCTAGTTACTTAAAAATGATAAATAAAAAATGAAATATTAAAAGAATTTTTTTCAGTTATTTTTGTGTTACACAAATCTCCTCATATTTAATTGTGAAGAAAAGGCGGATCTCAAGAAGTTTTTAATAACTTGTGGGCGCTGTAGGACTCGAAATTACACGTATGTGCTAACCATATAGCCAATAGTTTTTTAGCTACTGCCCTTTTGCTCTTACAAGAAAGTAAGTAAGATAAATGCCCGCCGACTAGGATCTATCTCATCTCTTAGGTTATTTGTAACCTATGTTACCCGAACTCTTCTATTTAGGAAGAATACCCGTGTCATGTTGTGTCGACACTGGTGTGGGTATGAGTGTCGGGTGTGGCATTTTAGCCTAAAATGTTCAAGATTTCTAAACAATTGACGAGTCGGAAGCTCATATCTCCACACCCGATACGCCACCCATATCCGAGTCCAGGTAGCATAGTTTGTAACCATTAAAAATTATGCTTCTTGTTTCTTTTTCTTCTACAAGGCCAAAGCACAAGAATAGTCTCTAACTATCCATTAGAAATTCTTCTCTTTGGTGCAGGAGATAGAGGAGATAGTGAGAGAGAGAAAAAAAAAAAAAAGACAACCAACCTGATGACCATTTTGATTTTCATATTGAAGCTTAGCCATCTCCCTAAGCCCTGCGACAAAAGAACCAAGAGTGGGAATATCCTCATCACCATTGATAGTGCTTTCATTCTTTATTTCATCAACAAAACTACTATAATCGGAGGACTCCGAATCGTTCACGGACAGCTTCCCACTATTTGCTCCGTACATCACCGGCGGAATCTTCCACTGTTTTCTCTGAAAAACGCCTTCCAATCTTCCAGTAAAATCTGCCTCCAATACAGTTGGAGGCGTGCTTTCATTTTCTCCAGCCGTCTCAAAGTCAGACGAGACAGAAATCAAACCAGCTCTGCAGCTTCTGCTTCTAGCCAACTTTAAGCTCCCAGAATACGTCCCACTAGTTGATGAGGCACTAGGAGAAAATGCATCAGGCTGAGATCTTAAAAGAGAATCTATACTCTTCTGCACGCCTCGCATGTTCTGCTCCAACGCACTGTAAGAGTAGTTATTATCAGTGCCACTAATGTGTCCAGGTGAAGCCATGACGTGGCCACTTGGAGACTCGGAATATGTTGGCATGTTAGTTTCACTCTCGCTAACTGACTCGCGTAATGACTCGAGTGTTCTGTTGTGATCAGATTCGCCTGTCTCGATACACACAACATCTTTGCATATTTCATCAGAATCTTCTGCAAGAGGTCCTTCAACTTCTTGGCTTGGATCTGATATATCTTCTGATGAGTAAGAATCTTCACTGTTTTCTGAATGAGTAATGTCTGAATTTCCGTTGCGCCTGAAACCTCCATTAACAGACCGAGATTCGTCTAATTTTTGGGAAGTTTTGTCACTTTCAATAGCTCTAAGTAAATCATCAATTCGAGAATGAGCCAAATCTCGTTGCTTTTTCAGTTCCTTAATCTCTTTCTCCAACTGCATTGTAACATAACAGGAACTCATCAACATGCAGTGTTTTCTTGTTCTCATTTTTAACAAAAGTTGGATCATACACTATGCAGTAGAGTTGGAGTCTGACACACAAAACTTTAGCAGTATTCTTTGAGGAATAATTCGTTCCATAACCCAGATCATTAATGTCACGCAATTTGTATGGATCTCCCTTTTTGACCATTTTTTAGAAGAGTGTAGGAAATGGAAATACTCAGATCTATACTAAAAATCTCAGGTTTATGTTCACCATCCCTGATAACTGTGAAGTATGAGGCAGTTGGACATTATCCGATTATCCAATTTTCGAACAAAAACTAAAACATGGAGTGAAAAGAATTTAATTAGATAAATAAAGTGTGCTAGTTCTAAATAAAAATAAAGAAACAGAACCTTTTCAATATGCATATCCTTCTTTCTTAACAAAGGTCCATGGTCGCAGATTGATCCTGGAGTTTTTAACTCACTTTCCAACCGAGCAACCTCTTTCTGTAGATGTTTCACTAATGCCTTATCAGACATCACCACATTGACCTTTGCATTTGTCGATACCTCCTTTGCACAGCTAGCAAATAAAAGTGTATTTCTCGATTGCTCGACATGGCTTCTGGCAGGGCTCAAGGTGCAGATGATTGCTGTTCTTGCATTGCCTCCCAAGGCAGGCTGCAGTATACGTGTAAGCTTTGAGTCTCTGTAATTGACATGCCCTTGTCTTCCTTTGCTGCATAAATAGATCAAATTGGATAAATCTGAAACATTTGAAGTACATAAATAGATCAAATTGGATAAATCTGAAACATTTGAAGTACATATGATATACAGTAAGAAAAAGGGGATATCAAGGGAAAAAGAATCCACAAACCTGAGTTTGCGAATGACAGTGCCCAGAGTTAATAAACTACGGTTTATATGGCAGCCTTCTTTGAGCCTCTGCCCTACGGATAGTGCTTGAGATGCTCGTTCACTTCCTGCTAGATCAACAAAGTTCTGCACGAAGACACGAACTAATTAACATCTAAATAAATAATATATGTTTACTTGCGTCATATAATAAGTAGCATGTATGCGGGGAAATTATCAATAATTTAATTTTGCTCTACCACGCTAGCAGAAAGGGTGGTCGAGTTGCCCTTTCCAATAAATTCTCGAGCAGAACTTTCAATTGTCTGGAGAAATCAGATAAGAAAAGAGCCAACTGTGAGGACGCAAACTTATTCAAACAGTGTGTGTGTGTGTGTGTGTGTGTGAGAGAGAGAGAGAGAGAGAGAGAGAGAGAGAGCTAACCAGTCTTAGAATTTGATGGGATCTTGAGCTGGTTTCATTCAGTGAGGTCTCCCCTATTTGCCTTTGTGCTGTGTGGAAGTTAATGAATTGCATACATATATGGCCTTGTTATGTTAACTAACTATATAATCAAACTAGAAACCAAATGATGAAAATGAAATTTGACTAACCTTCGCAGACAGATAACAACTCCCTGAGGTGATTCCAGTCCCTCAAAGTTTCTTCTGTGAGTTTCTCAATAATAGTTCCTCTCTACAGAATTACAAAATTTCAATAAAGCTACAAGGATGTGGGTGAAAGAGCAAACTAGTAAAGCAAAACTTACTTCTGGATCATCAAGTAGCCGTAGTTGAGTACTACTATCTGTACTAAGGAGGTCTCTAACAACTTCATTATAAATCTCGATTGCAGAAAACTTCAAAACAAAAGCTCTTTCTTCATGCTGAGAATAAGGGAGAGAGAGAGAGAGAGAAAGAGAGAGAGAGAGAGAGAGAGAGAGAGAGAGAGAGAGAGAGAGAGAGAGAGATGTCATAAAGAAGGAAATCTTTCCTATTGCCGGAAAGTAATGTAGTTCACTATATTCCAGGTTCCACGATAGAGTCAGAAGTCATGTACCCTTTGCATGTAAGCATAAATATCTGCCACTGCATACTCGGTGATACCATTCATAGTGTATGTTTTTCCGCTGCTTGTCTGACCATATGCAAAAATAGTTGCTGGTATAGAAATCGAAAATGTTATCATAATTAGTTGAAATAGATCACTACGGACATAGTAAGGGAATAAAACCACGAAAAAGGAATGTATAATCAGTAATCGAGCATATGATTAATTTGAACTTACAGTTTATGCCCCCGACAACGGAAAGAGCAATGTCCTTTATTCCTTCATCATAAACTTCCCTTGTTTTGCAATCACCCCTAAATACTCTGTCTATGCACATAAACATGAATAGATACATTAAGCAAGGGGGATTATATGCATCAGAATCACTATCAAATCAACCACTTTTAGGTACATTAAGTAATGTGGAATATATATATCAGATTCACTATCAAATCAACCACTTTTAGATACTTACAAAAAATGCCCAGATATTTAGCTTATTTATGTGAATAAATAAATAAATTAGTATATATTAAGAGCCCCTAAACATCACAGTATTTCAACATAAGTATTATTTTTTGTAAAATTTGTTTATCAGAAATGTATTCTGGGGCAGAATCCAGAGTCAAGCAACTAAATGACACTTATCCCAAACTAGAAAAGCCTAGACAACATGCTTCCAACTCATGGTGTAAACTTGCAATAATGCATATTCATAGCTTCTCCTCCTAAACTAGAAAAAACAAAAAAAATGACCAACCCCAGCAATAAAAGGCCACATGGAGACACTCTTTGCGGAGATAAAGTAAAAACACAACTACATTTCTCCTGAGAAACAAAGGAAAAATTAGATGGCACACTCTCAATACATATTAAATACAAAACCACAATGACTGATGTACAAACAGTGATAGCTCTCTTCCTAAACTTGAAAAACAATAAAAACCTACGAAAAATGAAAAGGCAAAGAACTCTTACCAAAAGTATAAGCGGTGGGAAGACCAGACCGCTCTTGGAGGCTGTTCCGGTACAAAATGGTGGCTGAATTAATGCACTCCCAATCTGAAACCTCGTTCTTTGCAATCTCCTTTTCACTCAAAGGCCTCAACCTTACCAAAACCAAAATTTTCTCTTCTCCTTCACCCATTATACCTTGCAGCTTCTCACTGTTCACCATTTCTTCAGCACCAATTGACCCCATTTGTTACCTCCTTTCCTTTCACTTAGATCCACTCTTTTACATTGGATATGTAAAACCTATAACCAGAAATCCAAACATAAGAATGGCCTACAGAAAATTAGTAAATGGTCTGCTAATGAAAGTAGCGAAAGAGAGTGTATTGAGCAACCGGTTAGTTTGCGCCTCCTGTAGAAACAAAATATGGTAGCATACCAACATGTTGTGCAAGAAAGAGAACTAATTATGGAAAGGTTTAAGCAACTAACACGGTTTTGATGATGCTAAAAGGGAACTATCCATCAGTTGGTAGTGAAATAATCACTTAGCTTACCTTCGCCTTTATACCTTTTCGCCCAACAGAAACTTAGAGTTCCATTCTTTTTGCAGAGTGAGGTACAATACTCAAGATTAGATAGCTTTGCTTAATGGGGACACCAACTATGCTTCAAGTCCAAGTAATGATGCTTTTCAATTGAATCCTTAAGTATTTCTAAATAATCTATTTTTATAAGAAGTCAGTGAAAACATAAGTAGTGGACCCCCAGTACTCAGGCACAGACATGCATACATACATACAAGCATACACCAAATAACAAACAAGTAGGAGTAAAAACAACATAAATTATTCACAATTTTTATCACATGCATAATTTATGAGCAAACTAACCAGTTAGAGATGCTTCCAATTGAACCGAGACGTAGATTAGGGTTTGCACTCAAATTCCAGGGACGCTTCTTGTCCTGCGAGGCCACAATCAGATCGGAATCGTTACACATCCATACTGATAATATACATAATTTCTACAGCTCAACATCAATATTTACAAGATCCTCAATCAAATGCACGATCTGGTGATCGTGAAAAACTCGAACCAAACAGTAACCAGCCAGAACAAAAATCCAATTTTCGATTACGCGTAAAATATAGCAACATATGCCTCTGCAAGAGCTAGTTTTCACAGCACTCGCAGAAAATTCATCGCGTATGGATCATCGAACCAGCTGAACACAAATTTTCGTCCGGTTACCTCAAGCTAAAAGGTACCAATTACTCGACGAGCATGAGCTTCTACAGTGCAACACAAAAGCAGAAGAGAAAGGTACCAAAATGACAACATGTAACGGCAAAAATCGGCGAAAAATCTTAAAACCGCACTGAGTCAAAAAAAAAAAAAACCAGCTGAGTTGAAGAATCGTAAGCAAAATACCGTCGAGCTTCATGAACCAGCAGCTTCAAACTTCTCCTTCCTTCTCTCTCTCTCTCTCTCTCTCTCTCTCTCTTCTCTCTCTCCCTCTCTCTCCCTCTCTCCCTCTCTCTCTCCCACAATGTGGCACCGGTAGAGGTGGGAAAACGGTGAACATCAAAGGTGAACGTTATAATTGTCGCTCATCGAGGAAGTATGAAATGACGATTCTACCCTTGCTTTGTTTTGAAAAGCCTGTGAGGCAGGCACGTGCCCACGTGACCATCGTCGGTGTGTGTTCAAATGGGGATTCGGCAAAAATTAATGGCGTACAATACGGGATAATTTGTGCGGTATCTAACTTGGTCACGATTAGCCTAAGCTACCAATTATTCCTATGCACAAATTGTTGTATAATATAATGAAACTTTTGTAAGAAAATAAATATTTATATTATAAATTGCCGTACTTTTGCCATGACGTTTTAGTTTGATGTATTTACATCTGACGAAAAAATATGGTTGTCTAATCGTTAGGTCGATCTAACAATAGACTTTTTGATTCCTTTGGTTCATTGGCTCAATTTGTCGAATAGCCGATAGCTAATTCAATTAACTATTAATGATCGGATGATTTAATTAGCAGCATTGATTAGCTAGTCGATTTAGCTGATATGTAGAACTGCAGTAAATAATATATATTTTTTTATATATATATATATAAATGACTAAAATTAAACTTTTAATTTGGCTAATAGCCAAATAGGTCTATTTTTTCACATTGCAAAGTTTGCTTTTGAAATTTGTTCAATACATATTATCAATAATGGTATTTTAGAGTAGATTTGGATACCCATAAAAGTCTACTTGTGGTCTCTTTTTGTAAGTCTAACTAAACTAGTTTGATAGGTGCGAATGTAATATGAATTAGTAGAAATTCGTTTTAATAAATTACACTCCTTAAACTAATTCACAATTTAATTTTATATTTTGATGGACATATTTTAGGACAATTATTTAAATGTCACATTTTTTTTAAATAATAATGTCATGTTTTAGCAATAAAGGTACTTTTTTTTTCTTCAAAAAAATATAATTACCGAGCGTTAACCAATTTAAACCGCCTAATAAATTTGAACATGCAAAGATAAAATGCAGCTACTTTATCACTTTAATAATAATAAATATTACTTGATTTATTTGAACAAAAGTGTGCAAGGCACTTTAACCGAGTGAAATGGTCCCTTTTATTTTATTTTTTTGTCCTAATAATGTATGACAAAATAATCTTTTTGGTATTGAAATTACTCGTGGTAATAATATATAAGAGACTGGTAGAAGAATGATTTTTACCACCAAATGTGACATGGTGAAATCATTAAGTTGTATTCACTTTAGAAAATATTAATTTTTGCCCATAGACTACATACATTGTCAACTATTGGGTGATTATATTATATAACCCTAGTGTTCAAATTAACCCCAAATGATAAATGTATGAAAACAAAATAAGAAAATTAAAGAGATAACTATGTATGATAATTGTCATGTCTAGTTGACATTAGAAATATAAATAAGTCGAGTGAAGTCGAGTTGAGCTCTTGATAGTCGAGTTAACCTCGAGCTTAGGACTACAAATGAGTTTAGGCGAGTCGAGCATGAACATTGACGAGTGCAGACCGAACTTTTTTCTTCACTGCTTGAGCTCAAGCACGACAAGTCATGTAAAATGCTGCTCGTCTCGTCTTGTGAAAAAAAAAATAAGAATGCTCGAGCTCGATTTGCTGCTCGACATGGCTCGAGTTTGACTCAAAATTTGAACAACGACATTTTAAATATAAGAATACTCGAGTGCTCATGAGCGGCTCACTCGTTTATAGCCCTACTTGATCCTTTTATTGAGCCGAGCTAGTGAATGCCAATTTTTATTAATATTATCGGGTCAAACTCGAATCTTAACGAGTTATAGAAAATTATAAAAAAATTCTATTATGAAGTCTTAACGAATCGAGTCAACTCATAAACTAAATTGGCGAGCTCATGAACGATTCATTTTGCTTAACAACTTTAGTTGAATGCAACTTCACAATCATCCCTACACATAAATTAAACCAAAAACATATCTACATGTGAAATTGCACTTTTATAACGTAGAAAGTTGTCATTTGGACTCTACATTTGAAAATATATTTATTAGGATGAAGACAAACCACAAACAAATATGCTCATATGTCAAAGATAGCTCATAATTTTTTTTCAAATGAATGTTATATTTTAGATTAGACAAAAGAATGATTAACAAATTTCAGTAAATAAAATAATGTACTCAAAATGATAAGTTTTATCTCAAAAAAAAAAAAAGTTGACTTCCTCTCACAGACAGAGAAGTGGTTAAGCAATAGATGGTTGATATAATTGCTCACAAACCAATCTTTTTCCTGTACCTACCTCTCCAACTGTGGGAGGTTGTTTGCCTATTAATTAATAATTTATCAAGATTAGTGGGGAGAGTGTAATTTGGTTGTGATTAATATAATTAATTAAGTTGAATTAACTATTTTAATGCCAAAAGATCGGACCATTTAACTTATGTTCACGCTACCCTAGAGATGCACGACCCCTAGTTTACTATAAACGAAACAAGACAATAACAATTACGAATTAAAATCTCGAATCTAGCGGTTAAAGTAAGAACATTCAACGTAGTTGGCCAAAATAATTCAAACACCATAATTTATAAACATTAAACACAGATAACGTGAATCAACTCATCAACAAAAATAAATATAGCGCATCAATTAACACACGATAAATATAAATCCTTCAATCTAAAACAAATCAAAGTTAGGGTTCAAATCAGTGTTCGAAAAGTCGGCCTAGGCGGCCGCCTAGGCGCTAGGCGCCGGTACAACGCCTACGATTTGGCCAAATCGACCATAAAAATCGTCCGGGCGGGCTCGGCGGCGCCTAGTCGAGCCTAGGCGGGCCAAGGCGGAGCTAGGCGGCCTCGGCAGCTACGCGATTTCGGCAGGACTAGGCGGCCGAGGCGGGTTCTAGGCGGTTTTTACAATTTTTTTTTTTTTTTTACAA